TTATTTCTCTTTTTATTATTTCTCTTCTTTACTTTTATTCCTTTTTTACTATTTGTTTGTTGTCGAGTTAAATTCAAGATTTTTAATCTACGTTCTTGATGATTACAAAACTTGAATTTAAACCTTAAACAAACAAAAAGTAAAAATCACAAAAAAACAAATTGTCATGCATGATACCTCAAAACAGTTGCATACACATAGATAAATACCAATTTGAGGGGGATAATAAACTTAAAATTTAAGCTCAAATATTTTTATGATAAACCAAAAATTGACAACAAGAAAAAAACAGAAAAGAATTACATATAATTGGCACATATATTGGCCGGCGTAGTACAAACAGACACGTTTATACAATAAACAGAAAAGAATTACATATAATTGGTACATATTGGCGTAGCACAAACAGAAACGTTTATTCAATAAATAGAAAACAATTATGTTTAATGTATTCAGTAATTCACAATTGTTTTCTATAATAAATAGTAAATATACATTATGTTGAAAATCTAACTGATTACACGCAACAAACTATTTTATACCTACAGTGATAACCAAAAAAATATGGAATATCAAGACAACAATAAAATTGAAGTTTTAAAGCAAATAACTTCACTAAAAAGTAATTAAATCCATTATTACATGAAATGGGTCTGTTTTCGCTGCAAAATTGCTCTGCTTTCTGTTCATTGGACTGTTAACACTCCTGTATGCCGACATGCCGAGTCCATTAGCGCCTGATCCAATCAGGGTTAAGTCGTCTGTTTTGTGTCTTTTCTGAACCAATAGACATTGCATGGCGGTAACATCTATCTTTCTATCAATCTCATCATCCAATTAGAGCTAAATCCTTAAATCGGCGCTAAGCAGTAAATGGAAATATTTACTTCTACTAAAACTAGAGTGTTAAAAGTCATAGCTTGAGTCTAAAAGGGTCCTTCCTAGTCTATCGTGGATTTCAGATATTTGCATATAAATCAAATAGTTTTAATAATAAAGACTTACACCGTCAAACTTCTTTCTTTAAAATAATCCTATAAAGTAACTAAAACTATATTAATATCCGCCTTTCGAATGTTTATGAAACTGTCCCTTGAAACAGTATTGTTTACTATAGTTATGTTATTAGTCTAAAAGTAAAATCTTGTGAGGAAAACCACAAGAGAATTATTAAAGATAACTTTTACGCACTTTTACCCTAAACTTAAGTTTTTAGATTTATGCTTACCTTTCTTCTGCTTGTTTTTTTTCAAGATTTGAAAAGATTTCATTGTTGTAAACTTTGATGATTCATGAAATTTTGTCCTGGCTCTTCGACTTTTTCATCAGAGTGTTTTTACAAAATTTTGAAAATCTTGTCAAACCATCAATGAATTGTTTTAACTGAAGAATTAGCATTTATGCAACTTTCATCTCTGCAAAACCGATTTAAATCACATCAAATTAATTATATCTAATAATCAGTTAGTCAGTAAAAACTATATATATACTCCTGATACAAATTGCAGAATGTAATCTAGAAAACAAGTAGAATTACTCTATTCAGGAATCTCACTTATTTACAAATTAAATGTTTTACACAATAAACTGGGAAGACGAAAACAGTATTGTGATATTTGTTTTACCAATATCTTTATTTCTTGGAATCAGACTTAATAAATAGAGAGCCATGATGTTATCTAATTATATTTTTTGTTCACTTTTTAGTTTAGTGACACATAACTTTAAATCTAAATGTATAATTTTAAAAGAGTATATTCTATTGTAGCTACCCCCTCCCCCCTATAATCCTTGGGCCAGATATATCTAACCCTACCTCTGCCCCGCATACCTACCCTACCTATCCGCACTGACCCATTGTTTCTGTCGCTAACCGAACCCTGCGCTTATAGTTAGAATACCAGAGAAGGGTGGGTGTTTAAATCTCCAGGGCGGAGATTTTGGCTAGGATTAAAATCAGTTGGGGACGTACCGGTCCTCTTTAAGAGAGGAAGGAGAAATGCCAAATCCAACTCCCCGTGGTGTTTTGAGGGAAGATCTGAGTCCGGAGAAACAGTCAATCTTAGGAACAGACACTTCAGACGTTTTCCTAGCCATGGGTTCAACAAGGATCGCAGGAAATCCGAACCTGTGGATCGACGGCTGTGTGAAGCCCCGGGATACAACAAAGATCACAGAGACTCATGGGAACCCAACCCCGTGGAGATCTGGATGGAGAAGAGCACAAGGAACTCGAACCTTTGGAAACTTATAGTAGCAGTATATCTACATCACGTGGATTTAACGGTTCTGTCAATATTCCAGAAAGCTGTGACTTTCGATCACAATTTCTCCTATTAAACATCATTTTTCAGCCTTCTTTCTTAAATACTTTTTTGCCGGCATATACGTTTTGAATAAAAAGTATAAAACAAACAAATCCGTAAGTTTAGAAATTGGTAAATTAAAAAACAAAACGCGTATGATTTTAAATAGAAGAAACCGAATGTCTCTAACTCTCGTTAGTCCGGGGTGACATATCACCCCGGATTAACCAGAGTGCGCAGCATTCGGTTTATTCTATTTGAAATCAAACGTATTTTGGTCTATAATTCAACAATCTTTTACCTTATAGATTTGTTTATTCTATACTTTTTCATTCAAAATGCATATGCCAACAAAAAAGTATTCAAAAAAAGGCTAACAAATTATGTTTAATGGGTAAAATTTTTATTGAAAGTCACAGCTTTCTGGAATATTGACAGAACCGTTAAATCCACGTGATATATCATTCCTTTTATTCAAAATTGTTTACAATAGAATACAATTTGACAGAATTTAAAGGACTCATAAAAACAAACTTGTATTTTTCATCTGAATGCTACAAATGGGGTCGAAAATAAAGGCAATTACTAATCTAAATCACAGAGTGTATGTTTGTTAACAAATATTATATTTAAAGACACTATCTTTATAAGTCCTTGATTGTCCCGCATTTATTCGCGTATGAACAATTTTATTATTGACTGAATATTATTGAATATTTACTAGCTGAAGTGCCAGGCGTTTGCCGTGAAATCTAATCGATTTTTTGTAAGTAAAAAAAATTTCAATTTTGGAACATACAAATATATCTATATGAGCGAAGAGCTTTATTATATGTTAAGGTAAAATGAAAGGCGGTATAGGCTAAAACCTAGAAATCTTGAATGTCTACTAAGCCTGGATATCTCTAAACCTTGGATATCTATACATCTTTTGAAGCTTTCTTGATATTTGTCGTGGACCTTTCCCGTAGAAGTTATGAACAGTGAGCGTACACCCCGAAGTTCTTCTTCAATCCTTGAGTAGTCCGATAGATCCTCATAACTCTTGTTTAAGGAAGATTTCAACTCCAAGTACTTCAATCCATCTATGATCGACATGCTGAAATAGGATATGTTTGTTAAGATTACATATATACTTTTGTAGTTAGCTCATAAGGAAGTAGATTTTTAAGTGTAATGGGTAAAATATTTCTGCAATTAAAGGTTACAAAATAATTATAGATTTATCACTGAGATTACAATGGTTTAACTAGTTACATTGAATATTAACAAGTAGTATGCAACATTGCATGATCATGTAATAGCATGATGGGTTTACATTTGTTAGTTGTGTTTTTAAAATATCGGATTAAAACAAAATTTTTTGGAAAAAGAAAGAAAATAATTGGCGTGAACATTTGTTAACTGGTTAAGGTTTGAAGAGAGCAGAGGTCTTCTGACTATTTGTTAGTTAGATTTTATGTCAGATATAAGTGCAAAAATTGACTTTATGTTGTACAGAAGAATAAACTAAAATATTTTACTTAAAGATAATTCGTTGCGTGTGCATTTGTTAAATGGTTAAAGTTTTTTTTTTAAAAGAACAATTAATTATTGGTTAGGATTTATGTCAGACATAAGTGAAAAAATTGAATTTATGTCAGACAGAAGGATAGAACTAAAAGAAGGATAGAACTAACATAATTTACTTAAGGATAATTCCTTGCGTGTGCATTTGTTAAATGGTTAAAGTTTTAAAAAGCAATTAATTATTAGTTAGAATTTATGTCAGACATAAGTGAAAAAGAATTGAATTTATGTCAGACAGAAGGATACCCCATAGGGGGAAAAGAGTAAAGAAGGTATACCTGGTATTGTTAGAGTTGGCCAAAATGGAGTGAGGGGGGCTAATGTGAAATGGTTGTATTTATAGCGCTTGGCGCGCGGTAGTAATTATTGGAGATGGAGAGGGAGGGGTTAAATATACATGAAAGGGGACAAAAGTTCAACAAGTAGGTATTGTTTTAGAAATCATGTTGTTAAAAAAAAAAAATTAATATTGCACGAAGGGGGGGATTATGTAAACAGAGAAATTCGAAGAAGGGGAATAATAGAAATTATTAATGTATAGAGTTTAAGTGCCTAGTTTTTATTGAAAGGAATCGGTTATTTTTATTGTAAGAAAATAAAGAAGAAATTCTTTTGTTTAAAATAAATGTGGGGATTATTAATTTTGTATGAAAAACAAAATTATGTTACTTGACGATTCACAAAGAGTAGTGTTGATCGGTTCAGTCGTTATTACGCTCATAGGACACAGACAAACAGACAGACAAACAACGAAGGTGTAATTTTTAAAGACAAATAGAAAAAGAGATAAATAATAAATAAAAATTGTAGTAGAAGGGGAAGGTTTTAGCTTCAAAGTAGAGTGTGGTAAGGTAATAGTGTTGAAATGAAGATGAAAGCGAGAGTCAAGGTGAATGTGGGTTGTGTGTTTGTTAGAGAGCGGAGAGTACAAAAGTTTAAAGAATACACAGAAACGGTGGTTGAGCGTAAAACCGGTTTCCGTGGTAGACACATGAGTTATGTGAGCGGGGTTAAACATGCAGTATGTAAAGTAGCACGAGGCTGGACAGAGGTACGTAAAACATTGAACACGTTGNACGGAGTGAAATAAATAAGTACTTACTAATATACGAATATTTTAGATTGGAGATGTGGAACGAAGATTCCCAGTATGATGAGCCGGGAGACTTCGATGAAAACAGCGTAGATATGACAGTTGGGCATGTTAATGCAGTGCAAAAAGTACAAATATCTAATAATATCCAGATAAATGTGAAAGTCACTCCAATAATCGAAAGAACAGTTGGGTTTAGTTATAATTCTACGGTGGCGGAGGATACAGAGAAGCTGTTGGTGACAAGGAGCGATGATGACACAGTAGCTGATAACATAACGGAGAGGATTAAGGAGATCGTTACCAGTGTAGTATCCAAGGAGGTTGAAGACGAGACTGGAGGGAGTGGAAGCAGTACAGCGTATATCGTGGTGATTGTAATCGCCGGGTTATTGATTATTATCATAATTTGCATCTGGTTACGTTACAGGTAAGATTGAGAAAGGTAAAAAGAAGAAGGAAAAAAAGGATGGAGGCAAAATGGTTAGATTTTAAGAGAGAATTTTTGTATTCTAATAGGGGTAGAATGGAATAAGAGGGAAGTGAACAAGGTTAAGGGTGAACATGAGAGAAAGAAAGGAATGGAATGTGGACAGAATATTAAAGTTATAAATTATTAATATGCAGGAATACTCTGCGCTGTGGTGAGAGATACCGGAAGGACGCTGAAAAGAGTGATTGGTTTCAGCGAAAATTTCGGAAGGTAATATTTAAAATATATATGAGACATTAGACAGGAACATGTTGGTGTAAAGGGGAATATTAAGAGGAGGGGTAATGAAAATGCTAAATGTTTAATGATTATAAATTTTTAGGATGGAGAGGATAAGGTAGAGCGGAAGATTGAAATAAAGGTTGTTGGGAGAGAGGGTTTGACAGAGGCAGGTGGGGAGTCAGGTTATTTTACTCCAGTTGCGAGTAGGCCTACAGAGGGGGATCAGGACATCTCAAACTTAGGACGGGGACTGAGTGCAGCTAATGAACTGAAGGTAAGAGGGGAGCTATAAATGGTTATAAACGGAAAAGGGCCGGATGGGCGGATGGGTAATTAACATAAAGATTGTGGGGGGGGGGGGTATTAAAAAAAAACAAATGAAAACGTGAGGGTTTTGCAATATAATTTGCAATAAAAGAAATATTATTGTTTAGGATTGTACGGGGTTGATGAACTGGAATTATTCCAGTGCCGAGTTCGAGGATAGTTTGTATGAAGATGTACAAGGGCCAGATGAAGGTGATGGAACGGGTGACGGAAGGCGTAAAGAGACCACGGAGGAGCATGACGATCAGAGAGGACATGATATAAACGGAGTTTTAGTGGGAGGTGATAGACTGAATCATGCAGATCATGGGAAAAGAGAGGATGGTGGCGGGGAAGTACAAAAAACGAATGTCAAGGCTGGGATTGAGAAGTCGACATATAGATATGAGAATGTCATTGAGCTACCCATAGTACCTATGCCATTGGGGAGGCTCAATAAGGAAGGACAGGACCGGTACAGATTTAAAGAGATGCGGAAAAATGGTATAAACGATGATGCAAGCTCAGAGTTACAGAAGAGGTTTGTTGAGGGAGTAGAAGAAGCTATTGCTAATGTGGACGCAGCTTATGGGGACGGTGAGGAGAGGTTGGTTCAAGCTCTGGAAGATCTTGAGGGCAAGGTATTGGCAGAGAAAGTTGAGGAGGAGGAGTTAATGCTGCGAGTACATCAATTTTATGATGCAACACCCAGACGGAGTGCTCGGTTGGCCAAAAAAAGGTTGGAGCCGAAGGAGTAGGGGAGTGGATTGGAGAGATAATTATAAGAGGAAAGAAAATTAATACACCATGTGATACGTTTAGTAGACCGAGGTTAATGAGTATAAATGTTTTGTGTGTTGTTAAGCTTGTGAGTAAAAATTGAAATAAAAGGT